CCACACCGTGCATGAATGAAGGGACCCGGGCAGGGGAAGGGGAGCATAAAGTGACAGGGGGACTGTCCTGAAGGATGGATGGTCAAGGAACGAAAGGTCTGTCCCAGAGGATGGAGGGGCTGTCCCAGAGGACAAAAGGTCTGTCCCAGAGGATGGAGGGTCTGTCTCGGAGGACGGACAATCTGCCCAAATGGACAGAGGGCAGAAGCGCCACCACACACCTCGGGACGGGCCGGCGGGGGACACTACCCTGCAGGTCCCCATCCGCTGGCTGACACCGGTGTCACCCTGTCCCGACCAGCGCCACCCTCCCAGCGAACTCTCCGCTATCTCAGCACCCACCCGAGGCACGGCGGACCATCCCGCCGAGCAGCCCCACTCCGTTATCCCCCGGGCATCCTCGGGGGCTGCCGGTACTCACCGCCGGGCCGGGCCGGGCCGGGCCGAGCAGCTCCCGGGGGCTGCGGGCTCAGAACCTCCCCACGGCCGCGCCCCCAGCCCGCCCCTCGCCATCACCGCCCGCCTCTCGCCATCATCGCCCCTCGCCATCACCGCCCCCCCCTCGCCATCGCCGCCCCTGCTCGCCACCGCCGCCCCCCGCCCCGTACGGTGATGCCGAGGGGCGGGCGCGGCCGTGCTCAGGCTCCCCGATCCCGGAACGAGCATCATCCGTTTCAAATTTAAAAAATTAAAAAAAAAAAAAAAAAAAAAAGGATCCACCCCAAAACTTCTTCGCTGGCTGTTTTTGCTTCGCTGTTTGGAAAAAGCAGCCTAAAAAACACATCTAGAAAATTGTTTTTCCATGTTATGCGCTCAGATCCAAGGGAAAATATAACTTTGTTGGGTCAACACCGATTATTTTTAAGCAAAGTCACTGGGGTTTGGGGGTGTAAGCGGGGTTTTCCTGCCCAGCCAATGTGGGTGCTCCTGGTGCTGAAATCATTCAGGCCCGGATCGTGTCCAGCTGATTCTGCTTCCCGTGGGAAAAAGATGGGTAAAGAAGGAAAACAAGCAGGCTCCAAACGCATGGCCCAGACGTGAAGGGCTGGCCACAGGGCTGGCCAGTGTCACACCAACCCATCGCCCCTCACCCCTAGGAGTGTTCCCTTCGAGGCTGGTGCCACCAGGGTTTGACCCCAGTGTGCCACCAGCAACAGCACCCGACCCTTGGACACATCATCAGGTGTCCAGGATATTTATAGAGATATTTTTGATGTGGAGATAAGGTAATAAGGCTGAAAGCCTCCCTCTGAGGCTGCTGATTAAATAAACCATCCGTATTTGTTCAGAGCTCTTTACTATGGGCTCTGCTCATGCTTTGGAAGATCACAGGCAAATAAGCAAGTCCTGAATTCTCCCGGCCAGCTGAAATACTTTCCTCAGTTTGTGGAAGGCATAGGAGTTTTAAGGCATCAAATTTTTAGCCTGCAGAAGGTGTTCCTTGTGCCAGCCCCAGTCCCCTGCCAGCCCCAGGAGTGGAGCAGTGGGCACAGGACAGGCTCGGGGGTCACCAGTGCTCCTGCTCAGTACAGGCACCACTCAACATCCAACTAAAAGCTGAGCCTGGTGTTTAGGAGGAACCCTGTTCTTTCTGTGTAAAGAACTGTGTGACCAGAAACCATCACAGAAAGGTTGTGCCTGAAAGAGGAATTCAGTGGGAGAAGTGGGGTCTGTGCCAGACCTACCCTCCTACCTCCTTGCCTGAGGCTTAAAATGTCACTTTGAGGGGAAAAGGGAGAGGCAGACAGTATTTCACAAATGCCAATATGCCTGTTTTCTCCCAGATCAGCTTTTCCTGTATTTTCTCTCCTCCCAGCACGATGCCTCCAAGTCACAGCAGGTTCAGGGCTACCTGGAACTGGTTTTAGCAGAGAGGAAAGAGTGGCTGTGTGTCCAGCTCCTTGGAGCTGCCACCATGGTGTGCAGGAGCCCAGCCCAGCCTGGCTCCAGCTGCTCCCCAGCACAAAATCCAGGCTCCCTCCCGCCCTCCAGCAGCTGTTTATTTACAGCACAGTGTTTCTTTCTAAAGATCCGGTCTCAGGGGGCAAAATGCCTTCTATGTATGAATCCAGTACTGACTAGCACAGGCATTGTCTTCCAGAGACTGCAGGCAGCCTGAAACAATAGGGGTGTGCAGAGAGTCCTGATGCATTTCCATTTTTGGACCATGATAAATCCAAAAGCTAATAGTAACAGCTCTAAAAATGGCCCATGGTAATTAGGTGGTTGGGAACTGGTTTGTTATTTGGCCATCACACACAATCCCTAATGGCCTCACGTCTTCCTGCATTCCAGAAGATTCATTTAACCCCTCAAAATTGGACAAAGCCCCCAAGTTCCCCTCAGAAACTTTCAGAAACGAGCACAAGCTGGAACATGGACAGCACAAGCACAGTGGAAATGGGAAGCATGCCCCAGGAGTCCTTGGAATGACATGGAACAAATGAACCACACACCGATCGTGGTGTTGTGTACAACTAGGTCCAAATCTCTGATTTTTTAAAAAATGCAACCCATGCACATAAAATACAGCACAGAGCCCATTTTTATCCTAAACCGCTGGGTTACAGACAGCTGCTCCCCATTTTTGGGGTTTTGCTGACACCTGGTGTTCTGGAAGAGATGCTGTGCGTTCCTGCAAGTTCCCTTCCCTGGCTCCCGTTGGGATGGCCACTCCCTCAGGTCAGACTGGAGTCCTGAATTTGGGGGAGACCCTGAGAAATGCAGGTGTGCAGTTACATTTCAGAGTCCCCTCTTTTAACATCTCAAGACAAGAGCAGTGCTGCAGGACTATTCACTTGATGTGTTACATCCCTGCAAACCTCATGGTACAAATGGACAATTCCTGACTTCAACGATCAGGAGAGCCTCAGGTCTCATCATACAACAGTTTAGGTGGGAGGAGAGCTTAAAAATCATAAAAATCATGGGCAGGGACACCTTCCACTATCCCAGGCTGCTCCAAGCCCTGTGCAACCTGGCCTTGGGCACTTCCAGGGATGGGGCAGCCACAGCAACCTCACCGGGAAGAATTTCTTCCTTCTATCAGTTCACCACATTTGGTGAAGCTTTTTGTAAGTGGCAGTGTTAGATCTGAGGTACTTGCTTACTCTCCATTGAATTATAGCCCGATGAGGAATTTCACTACCTCTTTTATCCTTTGTTTTTGTTTCTAAACCCTTTTCAGAGTAGTCTCTGTAAAACGTGTCCCACTTTTACATCACCACGTCGTTATGTCACAAAGCACGATGCTGATCCTTAAATAGGGACAGTGGCTCCCCCAGGAATAATCAGCACCATCTGTTCACAACCAGTTGCCCAAAGATTTGCTGGACCAGCATTTCTATCTCATTCCAGATGTCTGCCCTGCCCAAATCAGATCGGTTACATCTCCCCAGGCAAACACTGCTGCAAACAAAATTCCACAAATAAACCCAACACAAGACTTAAATATTTATAGCACAAACGTGTAAGAAAAACATAATAACACCAGGTAATAGATGAGAACAGGGTGGCTGCACCCCTGTGACACAAGCCAGAATTCCATGAGTCCAAGGGCAATTATTGTCTGTCTCCTCTAAGCAGCAGCAAATTTGGTGTTTGGGATCTTCTCCCTGCAGTTCCCAAGGGTCCAAATCCTCAGCCCAGCGACTTTGGGCTTTGTGGTTCAGGGGATAGTAGAGACTTGAAGGATCTTTCACGTGGACAACATTTCAAGTTAATTGACCCCTCCCTTCTGCTGAAGGAGGTTAGTGCAACCAGTCCAAAACCCCACAAAGCTCTACAAAACCCCACAAGAAAACAGTCAGTAGTATCATGTTCCTGTCACACAGAGCAGTTGGTTTTCTTGTAAGTTGTTTTACAACCTCAGTCCTTTAATGTTTCTCATGGAAATTTTTTTTTTCAATTTTCTTTTCAATTTCAAGTTTCCTTTTCATCACAATATAGACGTTGATCATTTTTGGGCAATGACTTGAAATTTCAAATGTCCTGAAATTTTTGGGGGTTTTCTGGTCACAAAACTGAAGCAATTCTGTGTGAAAAGGAGGCTGTTATGAAGAAAAAAAAACCCAAATATTACCTTTTTCTTACAGATTTTTTTTTTTCTTCTCCCAAGAAAACCTGTGGCTGCCCCATCCCTGGAAGAGTTCAAGGCCACTTGGCTTTGAGAAACCTGGTCTAGTGTAAAGTGGTCCTGCCTGGCACGGGTGTTGGACCTGGGTCTTTAAGATCCCTTCCAACCCCATCTGTGATTCTATTTTTTCCTAAAAATCACAGAGGAATTTCACACAGTTACAGATGATTTTTAAGCAGCCTGTTCATCTGTAACAATGTCAACAATTTACAGTTTGGGAAATAATTTTACATCCTCTCCTGGAGGACATGTATTCTTTTACTGCAACACCCTGTAGGTGCTGTAATCTTTATTAAGGATAATAAAATATTCTGCTGGCTTTCTGAATGCCTGAGAAGATGCATCTCATCCTAGAATAATGCAATCATAGTTGGAAAAGACCTCTAAAATCATTGAGCCAAACCCTTAACCCAGCATCAACATGTTCATCTCTAAACTAAGTGGCCAAATCCACACATTTTCTGAACACTTCCAGGGGTAGTGACTCCAAAATCTCACAGCTCTGAGAAAATCTTATATCTGCTTTTTTGTGACTGTGTGTGAGAACTTAATTATGGAATCTATTCTTTCTGTCACTCACTGCCCAACCCTCAAAATAAAGATTAAGCATTTTCCTTTTAACAGAGTTGAAGCTTGGAGGGAGGTGATACCTTTTCATTGTAGGGCAATACAAAAATAAATAATGTCTATTACATAAGCATTCTTACCACTGTTTGCTAATAACTTTCTGGAAAGTTATTCTCTTGGAGAGAGTCTCAGTGTTTTTACACCAAGAATACTGTACTGCCTGCTCAGCAGCAGTTCTTTACACTATTTTTCTCTTCTGTAAATAACAGAATAAATTACAATAAAAGGTCATAAGAAACAAAGCAAACAAAAAACAAACAAAACAAAAAAACCCAAACCAAACAAAAAACCACCAGTGTTCACACTTGGTTCAGTGCAGCAAAGAAAGACCCAATAGTCGCAGCATTCAGTTGTAGGAACTCTGAGTTCCTGGGCTCTTCAGTGCAGTTTTGGGGGCAGCAGGAGACAGAGAGCAACTCCTAGTTAGGCAAAGGATCTTCTTTTCTAGTTGAAGGAGAAACACAATCTTGGGTCTTGGCTTGTCAGACTCTCAGCGAGGCTCTTGGGCACTGGATTGTCCCACAGCCTGCAAGGACAGCAAATCTGTTACCTGTATCTGGGAGACAGGGACCCCAGAGAGAGTGGGACAGGGGAGGAATGCACTGCAGAATTGAAACCAGAAGCAATGAGAGAAAGAAAACTTTTAAGAACAAATGCAACAACTTCCTGATGGGGACATTACAAACCCGGGTCTTCATTTTGGTCTCATTTAAAGCCAGCAAGCTTTTCACTTTCTTTTTTCCCTGGACCTTCTGAGGAGGTGAAGCTGTTCTAGAAAACCTCAGCTTACTTGTCTTGTGTCTGCATTCCCTGCAATTCCCTGCCAGCTAACCCAGGGCAGCAGGGGCACGGGTCACACCTGTCCCCACACTGCTCACCCTGACTTCTCCTTGCTGAGCCAAGACCCAGCCACAGAGCTCTGTGATACCTGCTCACCTTATGAACTGAATTTCTGGGCACTTGGCAAGTTCCTCCACGAGCTTGGTGGCCCCACTGGCTCCAATGCGGTTTTTCTCCAGGCTGTTTTAAAAACCAAAACAGAATTTTGAAATCCGAAACAAATCCAGAGTGGAAAACAGCTGAAGAGTCCCACGATGTGATCATCTTAAATAAAATAAGTGCTCCTACAGGTGTGTCAGCCAGGCAAGGCTGGCCCTTGGTGCATGGAGCAGGCTAAGCAAGAAATTAAACTGCAGAAACCTGTCTGTTCCCCATGTGCATCTCTTTTCTGCAGTCTAGTGACTGAAGGCTCGATGACAGAAAAATGAGCCTTCCCTGGGTTTTTCTCAGGGCTGTACTCACTCTAACACCTTCAGCTTTTCCATCTTTGGGAGCGCAATGGCCAATTCTTGAGCTCCTCCATCTCCAAGGGCATTCCAAGACAGTCTAAGGGAGACAAGAAATCCCAGTTGTGAGTCTGAATAAACGCTGGTGCCCCTACTGTGACATTACCCCTCGTGGATTAGCCTTTTTGCAAGAGCTAATCATCCTCTTATCATGACAGGTAAACATTCCCCTGGATTACAACTTAATTTTGAGGATTTTCCTCCATTTCATCACCTATTTCCATGTGGAGTGTCTGTGGACTGTGGTTGTCTCAGAGTCTGGCAGGCCCAGGGAATGAGATGTGAAAGATGGAAATGACTGCTGAGCACACAGGGAATTTTTTAGCAGTGTGTTTCATCGATTAGTAAATTACTGGTACATTTACCACTGAAAAGTACTTGGTGGAAAGCATTAACAAGTATTCAGCAGGCTCAGAAATGCCCTGCATTGATGTTAGATCCCAAAGACCTGGGTTTTTTGAGCTTTCTGTGCTTTCTGGCACTAACCCTCTAAAAACCACTGCTTTGGACCTGAAGCCTTGAAAACAACTTCTAAATATAAATAATAAAGTAAAAATCACAAGTGTATAGTGAAATAGAAGTGTGTACTTTCACATGGTAATAAGTTTTCAATTTAAAGTTTTTATAGTATAATAATAAGTATGAAACAATATAAAAAATTTTAGGCGTTGTCTCTTTCAGTGTTCATCTTCCTTCTTCATAAGTTTCAAGTAGTAGTTTCTAGTTAGTCAATCAGTGTCACACTAAAGGTCATGAAAATCTAATTATTAAACCAAAAATAGAAATAATATAAGTATTAATTCCCTATTAGACTGTTTAGCTTTAAAAAACCTTATATCCTCGCTTCTAGCAAGTAGCTAGAAGTGCTGTTAAACACTCTGTATTCTCTAATAAGATTTAATAAACAACCAAGCCCAAACATGAAAAAAACCCATTTTCATCATGTTTTTGTTAATCCTAGCTCTAAGAAAAAGCAAAAAAACCCTAAAACAAACCACTAATTAAATAGTGCAAGACTGCAGACCGGAGCAGACGTGAAAATGAGTGACTGTGACCCACCCATCCCACACTCACATTATCTCCTCCAAGGACGGGCACTGTCGGAAGCCGAGGGACAGGGATTTGGAAGCATCATCAGTGATCCCACAGAACTTCAAGCTGGAGCAGCAGGGAGAGAGCAAAGAGAGGGCACGGGGTGCTGGAGAGAGCCGTGGGGAGCACAGCACCGTGTCCTGCCCCTCTGCCCCAGCAGTGCCCTGGTACTCACTCCATCCTCCGCAGGCGTTTGAAGCACGGCAGCGCCTGGGACAGGGCACGGATGCTCTGCTCCCCAAGGTCGTTTTCTGATAAACTGCAAGAGTGATGGAAAAGCTTGGAGTGGTGCAGAAAACGTAGGTACAGTCAGAGAAAAGCCACCATGAAAAGGTAATCATGTGAAGTAGCAAGTTAATAACTACTGCCCAGACTAAGTGAGCACTGCAGGCAGCAGGGATGAGCCAGATTGGGGCACAGCAATTTTAGGTCAATTCACTGCTTGGTACAATGGGAATGACAGCCCTGCTGTAACTCACAACCTCAGACCTTGCCTGCAGACAGAAACATGGGGTATAAACCTGTGTCAAAGAAGGACAGATCTGCAGCACATCGTGTGTTGCATGTGAAACTGGAAATAAAAAATTATCCTGGAGTTAATAACTGGTGTGACTTGAGAGGAAATGACAGTAAGGGAGAATGGGAAGGAGTCCTTCCAACACCTAAAGGGGCTACAAGGGAGCTGGAGAGAGACTTTGGACAAGGGTGTGGAGAGACAGGACAAGGGGGAATGGCTTCAAGCTGACAGAGGGCAGGATTAAATTGGCTATTACGAAGCAGAAATTGTTCCCTGTGAGGGTGGTGAGGCCCTGGCACAAGTTTCCCAGAGAAGCTGTAGATATCCCACCCCTGGAATTGTCCAAGGCCAGGCTGGATGGGGCTTGGAGAAACCTGGTCCAGCAGAAAATGTCCCTGCCCATGGCTGGGGGATTGGAAGGAGGTGATCATCAAAGGTCCCTTCCAGCCCAAACCAGCCTGTGATATGTTTGGCACCATCCCAAGTGCACCTGCCATGACCTACCTTATCTCTTCCAGCAGCTCACACACCACCAGGGCTCTGGCCAGCTCCAGCCCTCCTGCCTGCCCAATTGTATTGTTCTGGAAGCTAGCCAAGGAAACATAAGCATTGGAGGATTATTTTGGAATAAAGCTGTAACAAAAGCTCGTATTTAACTTGCCAAGAACCCAACCAGAGGCAGTCTCCTACCACTGGGATTCCTAAGTTATCTTTTGATGACATTTTCAACACAGGCTGGAAGAGATGCCTCTAGGCTAACTGAACCCAGTGAGCACTTCTAACTCACCAATATCTTGCTTTGTTACTATAAAACAGTACAAGAAAGTCCTACAGGTCAGAGTCCTGGAAAGACTCTCACAAAACTTTTAAAAATACAGTAATACTGAGCTCAGGGAAAATAAATTACTCGGATGTGCCTGCACAAAAAAGTGAGGGTCCATAAAAGATGCTCATCTTTATGCTTACATTCCACCAGAAGCATCAGAAACCCACACTCAAAAGCAATTTTAAGGCTTATTTTACTGCATACTCTCTTTCTGGTTCATCTCTACAGCTAATGCTGCAAGAGATTAAGCAAGAAGAGTTTGTGACTCTTACAGCAGAGTAATTGTGGAGGGTTTCTCAGTCCTGGGACACGGAAATTACTCTCTAAACAACCAGTGCCCATGCCTTTTCCCATTCCTTCTTTCAGCAATCCCCATATTCCCCAGGATATCCAGCCTTCCTGGGGCAGAGGCTGACACTTACTGCAGGATCTTCAGGTTGGTCATGTGAGGCAGACAGAGGGCAAGTGTCACTGCTGTCCTGTCTCCAAAATCATTCCTTGATAGTCTGGAAGAAGCAGAAATGAAACGTTACAGGCAGTGAAGTCCTCATTCCTCACCTGTGTGTCACCCACACGGATGTGTGACCCCCATTCCTCACCCACATGTCCATGGACTGTGCTGAAAGGACCTAATGTGCCTGATTGAAATGACTCTGAGGGTGGGAGGAAGAAATAATGAGGTTTTGAAATCCTTCAGCAGAAGTTAAACAGGGAAGTAAAACTGAGCTGCACTTGCCAGAAGCGCACTTGTCTCCCTTCCTGACTGAGTTACCTGAGCTGGAATTTAACTGAAATTGCATTTTTTTCTACGTGCCCTTAGTACACACACCATAATCTGAAGGTTACAAGGACAGGTCCAGTAGCTTAACTGCAACTTTTCCTTATTTGTTATTTTTAAATTTTATTTATTTAATATGGCAGGGCACATACATTCTTCAAACTGGTCTGGAATAGAACATCAACAAATCTGACTGTGGAAAGCCTTTATCTGTCCATTTCCCTCCATTTTTGCAGCCATAGAGATTAATGTTGACTTCTTGGGCAACATAGGCACTGAACAGCTCTGTCTGTAAACTTGCAGATTCAGCTCTTGAATCCACTAGTCCACTAATGCAGACTGCACAGTCTTTGGAAATCTTCAAGACAATCCAGCAACACATCCCCAAACATTCCACACCCAGCACCACACATTTCTATGGTGTGTAGCAGAGTTTTCACCCTGCTCTCACAAGAATCAGTGGTGAAACTGATCCTGGCTTTATTGGAGCTGTATCAGTTTTCTATGCCTTGGTTTTTGCCCAGCTTCTCAAAAGGACATTCGAAATTACACACTTACAGTAACTCCTTGATGTGCTTGCAATGGGCAAGAGCTGCCATCAGCTTTTCCCCTCCAGCAGGACTAGGACAATTCCCTGAAAGGCTAAAATAAACATGAGACTGTCAGTGAGTAAATGAGAACCAGAATGTACCAGCTGAAGATATTTCACTGTTTGCCTGCTGTGATGGAACTCGGGTCTCTGGGAATGGTCTGGGGATTTTTAGGCTCTTTTGTCAAGTGCTGAGTAACTCCTGGCCCTGCAGATACTGTGGGGAAGGAGCGGTTTTCCCTCTCACAGACAGAACTGGGAACTTCCTTTTCTTGCTTCAAGTTATTTCCAGGTTTTTAATTTCAAAAAGTTACAAGGATTACCCCAAGAGCTGAGCCTAATAAAGAGCCTGGATGCTCTAATTTCTGTTCCCTGGGAGAAGGAACAGTTTGAATCCCTGGGAGAAGGAAGAGTTTGAATCCACATCTCAGAGAGCCTTGCACAGGGATTCCCACATAGGCTCCCCCACCAACCACAGCCATGACCAAAAAGCTGAACCAAAACAAAGGAACTCACTCGAGTTTCTTCAGGTTTTGCATTTCCAGCAGGACAGCAGCAAGATTTATCAGGCCTGGATCTTCAATCTGGTTGTGGCTTAAACTTTAAAGAAGAGATGGAAGGCTGTGTTGTAAAGGAAACTGGCAGGCAAAGTACAAGATCTTACTTGATGTGTCCCATTTGCTGGATGACACTTCAGGCCTTGCCAGCAGAATCAAAGAGTTGTTTATCTCAACTATCTCACAAAAATTAATAGGTGTTAATGAGGAATTTAAAAAATTGCAAAGAACAATTAAAATCACTGGATCCTGCTGACAGGGGGGAAATTACTTCAGCCAGAATACCAAGAGAGGATGAAGACAGGTTGTCATTATTTTCCAAATTGCTACAGTGGAGAATGGACAGCATCTGGCAAGAGAGAGAGGGAGAAAGCAGAGCAAGCCTGGGGTTGGCTCCAGCTACAGATCTGTTCAGACCAGGCAAATGCTGGGTCTGAGGCTCTCCCAGGACAGCAGGGAGTCTTTAGTCCTATTCTGGATCCCAGGAAAGATTTAAATTCTGTTTAATCCATTTTCTACATGACTGCAGCAGAGTCCAAATTTCCTCTTCTGAACATCAGGTTCTGATTTCCTCTAGTCCAAGGTACCTCTTACACGAGCATTTTGCAGCCTTGCTGCTTTTCTACAATACTGTGTATAAGCACATCTGGTTCTCTCCAAATGCTGGCACTAGTGGTCACCTCTCTGCAAGGAAGGAGAAACTTACTTGATTTCCTCCACGTTGTGCATTTCCTTCAAGGCTTCTGCGAGTCTGGAGCAGCCATCATTACCAATACTGTTGTGGTTCAAGCTGGAAACAACATCCCCAGGAAAATGGACATTAATCTGCTACTCAGCATCCCCAGCCAGGCCAGAGGTGACCTGCAGTCACATACTTACACAAGCCTTTTCAGGGATGGCATCTCACAAAGCCCCAGCACAAGCTCGGGGATGGCAGCACTGCTGAGTTTCATGCAGCCCAGGCTGAAAGATGGAATAACAAAGGTACAGTTGTACAATTATCTACCCAGTGTGAGCACTCAGCACAGAGGGGAGCAGAGAAAGAGTGGGAGAGATGGGGGAGTGTATTCTAGTCCCTGTGGATAATTTCAGTTTTGTTCCCTAATGCAATTCTAATGGACCTGCCTGGATTCTGGTAAAATACCAACAGAATACCAAACCTCTGGAGCAAGAGCCCTGCCCCTCATGGAGCAAGGTGTCACTGTGACCACAAGACAAGATCCATGCAAAAAAACACTACCAAAATATTTGATTCTCCACTGGAATTCCCTGCCACAGACTCCTGATCTCTGTCTCTCTCACTCACTGTTCATTGCAAATAGAAAAGTGTTGGAGTCTGTAAAACAAAAGTCCCTCTGAATTCTTCAGAGAGAAATCAGAGTGTAAGGATTAAATGAAAACCCAACAGAAAAGTATTATTGCTTCTTCCTGATCAGAAGCCATCAGGAAAAGTACATCTGTCCTCAGCAGATGCAGAAGAGAGGCTGCAGTTTAACTAAAGCTTCTAGAAAAGCCTGGTAACAACACACTCACTTGAGTTCTTCAATGGCGTGGCAATTCTGCAAGCCTGAGATCAGATACTCAGTTCCAGTTGGTGCAACATTGCTAGAGGTCAGCCTGCAAAACAGCAAGGATCAAATGAGAAGATCAGGTCTCAGCACACTAAGAAAGAGGAGTTCACTCCACTGACAGGCAAACTACCCCATCCCAAACCCCAGACAGCACAGACATCAGGGACCAGTAAGTTTGGGGATTTTCACACCCCTTGTGTGCAGGACTAAGAGGACTGGCCTGAGGCACAGGATTGAGCAAATAATAAATATGTGGAAAAGGTCCCAGATGGAGACATACCCAAACATCTTCAGCTCTGGAAGGGGCAGCAAAATCCTGACTAGAATTTTTGTTTCATCTTCATGGAGTTCCACGTGAGACCATCTGCAACGAGGGAATGACAGGTCTGGGCTTTGTCCAGTGTGTGCCAAGCCCACAGCAAAGACACAGCAGTGCTGGGACATCGAATTGTGACACAGCACTGGTACTGGGCAAGGTGCCAAGGGGGCCCCCAGCCATGGTGAGTGAGTATAGCTGATCTGGGCACTGGGGGATTTAGGTGATTTCAAAGGATACCCCAGGAAGCCACCAGGTCTGTGGGTCTTTCCTGTTTTCCATTCAAACACTCCAAGTAGGGCCCCAAAGGGCAGGGACTGGGACCCTGCACTGGCCTCTCCTGTGCCTTACTGTGTGTTCAGAGTGCTGCACTCACCTGCACAAGCTGCTCCCCTCCCAAAGATCCTTCACAACACCTGGCAACTCACCTCAGCTCCTGAAGCTGAGCACATTTTCCACAAAGCCTTTGGCAGAAGGAGTGCTTGATTTCTGGCTTGTACAGACTCAGTCTGCAGGACACAAACACCCAGCACAAATGTCAGTGAGGATCAGCAGAGCCCAGTGCAGCATCTGGTGCTCCCCAGGGACACGATTAGGGACAGATCAGGGCTTTCAAGAGCCCACCTGGGGCTTTCCTGCCATGTCCCATTTATGTCACAGTCCAGTGTGGAGGAACACAGCCCATCCCCACTGCCCAGGACAAGAGCTGCCTCTTCCTCCAGCTGCACAGAAGGAAAAGGACACTGATGCTGCCCTCTCTGCATGCTCATGCAGAAGCCAGCATGTCTTAAGTGTCTTCAAAGTGCTCCAGTTTTCTCCCAGGAAGGTAGCTGGATTTTTTTTTGCCTTGTTTAGGTCCAGTATGGGCCTGACAGAGAGCAGCCCAAAGGACACATGCATAAGGTTTCTTCCACATGTGTGGCACAGAGGTGCTCTGAGAATGAACCCACGCAGCCTTAGATACTCTGAGGATATTCTTCATCCCACAGTGAAATTCAGAGCAAACAGAAAATAATGATAATCAGTCACTTTCTCACCTGTTAACAACTGATTCTGTCTTCTCCAGGCAGTGTGGGAATCTCATGACTAATTGGAAGAGGGTTTTATCTTTACATATCCTGAAAAGGAAGAGATTAGAGAACAGCATAAATCTGTGAACTCCTGAGGGAAGAAAATACTATTTTCCATAGGAAAAATTAGGAGGACTGAATGGGACAGGGTGATGCTGGCACATGAAAGCTAATCACCCATCTCTGAGGAGGTTTGTAATGTTAAACTAGCTCCAAAACCAGCCTAAGCTTGGCATCCTTTTCCCCAAGGACAACCAGGACAACCATGGTCTCCTTCCCATTAAACCTTCTGAGCTGTGTGACCATAAAGTGTTCTAAGCACTTCTACCCACCAGCCATTTGGGTTAAAACTGGTTCAAGTGGGCAAATAGATCACAAATGCACTGGAGACAGTGAATAAGCAACAGAAGATCCAGTGCTGGCTTCAATCTCATTTCCTTAAGAGTATGAGGCCAAAAGAAAATGAAGACACCAGTGAAATGGTGAGGTGCCACTTACGTGATCTCAGTAATGTTTCCAGAGGTCTGGACTGCCAGCTCGAGAAGGTTCATGACTCTCTCTTTGCTCACCCACGGCTCTTCTATGCTGCAAAGCAGAATAAACACAGCTCTGCTTTAATCACACACATGGATCCATCTCTGCCTCTGCCAGCTGAGTGTTCCACACTCTAAATATGTGGAAAGGCAGCTCGGCTTAGCAGAGTAATGTCTGCATGGGAAATGGGACAACAGGCAGGAGTAGCCCAGCTTCCCTGCAGAGGATGGAGAATTTGCTGCAGACAAAGTGCAGGATGCTCTGGCAGTAGGAATGTGTCCACCAGAATTATCCCCTGCTCTGCAAGGCTGGCAGTGGTCTAGAGAGCCAGCACAGTTTATGGCCAGAGCTCCACATGAGGCTCAGTGGGAACCAAGGAGATAAAGCCAAATACCAGTAACAGAGTCAGCCACGGGTATTTCTCAGAATTTCTCAGGTCAATGCTACCTGCCTTTGGAAGAAGCATAGTTCACTTTTGGTTTTGATGAAAGGAGATCTTGGAAGATCAGACCAGTCTCAGATCAGTATTTAAAAAGCACAATGACACAGTACCTGATCTTCAGCAGCCCCAGATCTTTCCTCAGGGAATGCAAAAGTCTTTCTGCAGCTTGGACTGTCATGTTGTTATTTGAGGACCTGGAACCAAAGCTCACTGTAATGAACAGCTCACAAATGAACCCACCCAAATGGGTCCAAGAGCCATTAACTCACGTGTACTCTGTCAGATCAGTGCACTTTTCCAGGAGCAAGAACAACTTTTCCAAATGCTCTGGCTGAAAGTTGCACTCTGCCAGTCTGAAATGATGAGAAAGAGAACAGCCTTAGTTCATCACAAACAGTTCAGGCTTCCTGACCCAGAAATACCAGCAGCACAGCCTAACCTCACACAGGAAGAAGGTTGGCACAAAAACCATAAACACCTTTAAGAGTTTCTAAAAAAAGATTGTGGCAACACTTCAAAAGCATCTGTTGATATATTCTGGTAGAACACACCTGTATGCCATGGCACTGCTTTTTGTAGGACCTTGTCCTGTGACAGGGGCTGTAGGAACACCTACAGGTGCCAGGTGAGGGACAGACAGTGGGGAACAAAGAGAAAAAGGGATGTGGGATTCTCTGTGATGTGAGAAAACTCTTCTCAGAGGGTGAGTCAAAGGAAATGTATCAGCTATTACTGTAAAATATCACCATGCCAGGAGCCAGGGGAAAAAAAGAGGTTTTGTCTGCCCTGTCCCTCGAAAAAGGACACTACCTTTGCCAAAGAAATCACCACAAAATGTCTGTAACATTACCTCAAAATCTTTCTGGGGTCATCTCCGCTTGCCAGCTTGATGATTAAAGTTGCTTTGGAGCACAAACTGCACAGAGAAGATGAGTGTAAGATTTAGATGGATAATTATACCTTTCCCAGTGGTGAGAATTTAATGATACCAAACTCCAGAAAATAATCCAGCACAGCAGTGACAGAGGTACCTGGCCCAGCTCACCCCTCCCTAAAACAAACCAGCCCAGGGAAATGCTTCAATGAAGTCTCACTCATGCTAAATTGGCATAAAGGCAGCGCTGGTGTTTGGAGAAGCAATCCTGACCTGTCCCACTTTTATCTGCCTCCTGTGCAGTCTCTGTTGAGCTCTGGGGAGGGGTACACCAGGAGACCTTAAAGCAGCCCAAAGATTCAGCACCCACACCTAACTGCAGGAACGCATGGCAGTGCCCCTGGTTAAAGCTGGTTCAGGACAGACCAACTGGTCCCATGAACATAAACACTGATAAGGTCCCACAGATGTGCAGCACAGCCCAGTCTCATGACTGGAATCTGTGAGAAAAGCACAGAGCAACAGGCCCAGACGCCATGGGATATTTTTGTCCTGAGAGGAAAGGAGATAAAGATGCAAATCCAAGTAAAAGAACGTGGGAAATGGCTTTCTATTGCCTCTGAAATCTCAACAGAGTGAAGAGAATCTTAGAGAGCAAATGCTGGCTCCTGCCCTGAAGAGGCTCATTAACAGATACATACATGGCAATAATTGGTAGCTGAATATCTGTGTCTATACACAAAATTAACCTGGCCCTGTGGAACGGGAGCTCTGCTTGCCAGTTATGTTTGGCCATTCAAAATGGACATAACCCAAAGCTTTAGGTAGTTGGACATAAAGGTAGTTGAAAACGTGGTCCTCGTCATTATTACCTGAAGATCACAAACTTTCAATAATTCAGAGGAAAACAAGCAGGGAAGACTCAGAAATTAATGAAGAAAAACAATCACCTGACTTGAACTTCAGTGGTGTTTCCAGATGTGACAAAGGCATTTATGAGATGTAGGACTCCATCCTGAGAAATCCCATTATGGCTGAGGCTGCACAGAAAGAAAGAAAGAGAAGGAAAGATTTTCACGTGCCAGGAGTCAGGGCTGTCCCCAGGCTCCTCAGGCACAGAAGCAAAATTCAAGTTGACAAAGACAGAGCAGTTTGTGGGGTGCTGGGCCCCTCCAGCTTTGCTCAGTCACTGAACTCCCCAAAAGAGCACTGATGACTTGGAGGACACAGCAAATGCAATTTTCCTCTTGCACCACAGCAGCTGGAACATTTACTGCCCCAGCAGAAAGGGAAGGGCAGAGGCTGGTGTAGGGCACAGCTCAGCTCACACAGCTCAGCTCACAGCACCTCTGGGTCCTGTGTTACTCAAAGAGGACACCACATGCACAGTGATGAACTGGAAACTCTGGGAACTGGGTCAGCTTCTGTCACACCACCCCACTCTGGTCATTGCTGCTTCCTGCTGACACTAATAAAAAGACTTTTGCTTATTTTCAGCAGGTTTTGGATGAGACCCTGAGTCACCACAGCCTGGTGGTCTTGAGCTGTGCTCATGGTTCAGCCAGAGCTTTCCTCCTGAGGCAGGAAGGGCAAGAAGCACAAGCAGCAGCTTCATGAAGGATCACACCAACACCCTCCTGCTTGCACCTTGGATTCACTGAGTGTTCTCTTACTTGAGGGAGCAGGTTCCAGGCACTCGATGCAAGTGGTCCAAGAGGCACCTCAGCCCTTCATCTCCCAGCTGATTCCTGGAGAGACTGAAAGGCAGAAGAACAGTGTGGCCAACCAAAACTCAGCCTTTGCAACAGGTTGCCCAGAGAGGTGGAGGTTTCCCCATCCCTGGAAATATTCAAGGCCTGGCTGGACAGGGTTCTGAGAAACCTGATCTAGTTGAAGATGTCCCTGCTCATGACAGGCAGTTAGACCAGATGGCCTTTAAAGATCCTTTCTAAAAAAAAGTATTCTATAATTCTATATTTCTTTTAAACAGAAATGCTTCTCTGAGAAGCTTTGAAGAAAAAACTCAAATTTCCTGGACTTAAATCCTAGCTTAGCCAATAAAGGTCTGTTTAAAACAAATCACTGCCTTATGAAATTACCTCATGCATAAGTTCCAGAGCAAGCTCAAATGAAGAGCTCAGGTGAAGCAACAAATGCCTCAAACCAGTAATGGAGTGAAAAGCCCAAGGAAATTGTCCCATCAGCTCAAGAGGAGCTGTATAATTTCCAGTTGATTGTGTTTCTCAGCAGTGTGAATGAGCACACATACCCTTGCAGACAGGTTCGGGCAATGCTGAACCCCACAAACACAGCTCTCCTGCTCAGTGACTCTGCTCAAGATCCTGGTAACAGCCCAAGCCCCACTTACTCCACTTCTTCCAGCCACCCGTGCTGCTCCAGGATGCTGCAGAGCTCCTGGACCTGCCCTTCCCCGATGGCACAGCCTGTGAGCCTGTGAGAGACAGCAAGAGTTAAACATGGCCAGCAGCCAGCTCAGCCTGAGCTCTCAGAACTGCCCACCACTCTCTGTGCAGCATGCACACTTTTTGCCATCTCCTTGGGGCTGGAGCAGAGACCCATTAAAGCCTCCTGGCCAAGGGCACTCGGGAGCCACCACTCCCAGGGAGGCTGCAGACACATCCAACATCACACAGATGCTCAAGGATGCTCTGGATTATCACCCAGAATTTGAGGCACACATTTGGAAAGTGCAGTGATGAGGGCTCAATTCAGGTGCTCATGCAGCAGAGTTTGGTGCAAGTCAAAATGATCATAAACAGCCCAGAAAAAAAAGAGAAAAAGAAAAGCATGGGCCTCTGCCATCCCAATGCATCCAAATGGTTCTGAATTGCATTTAAGCAGATGAACTGAGCCCTAAAGCTTAAGCTCCTCGCCCAAGCTCCTTGGCCACCCATGGATTCTCAATACAAGAGGAAATCTGGCTCCATGCACTAGTGTTTCAAACCCACCCACAAGTGAATTACAGTAAGTGTTCTGTGCCACTACCTGCAGGATGTCTTTTGGCTTTGCGTGGTTGCTCCTAAATGCAAGAAGGCATTTTCACCTGACCTGAAGCAGAAATAAAATTCAGTCCTTCAGCACAGATCTCCAAAGATGACAGGCTTTGTGGTGCCTTTAGGGCTGAGCTGCTGGCTCCAGTCTGAGTGTCTTACCTGACTTCCACCACTCTGATCCGCTCACAGAGGTTGATGGAGTTGAGGAGTAAAACAACACAATGTGGGGACAAGGAATTTTTCCTAATACTGTAAGGGAGGGGAAAGAAGAAACACTGAGATCAGCTCCCAAGAGGAGAGGCTCCCATACACACAGCCCAATTTTCTCGTTGTTCATTTTGAGACACAGAAGATTGGATACATCCCATTTAACTCAGGATGAGGGAGCAAGGACCTAAACTTTTGAGCATTGACACCCAGCCTTCATTTACCTAAAGGAGAGTCTCCTTTAGTCCCCTTTGACTAAACAGGGAATACAGACCAAGGGCTTACACTGAACAACTCCTCTTTGGGGCTACTGGACTAGAGATACCCCAAACTGGAAGCAACCTCCTGACTGGGCAAACTCAGTCTCATGAGACCCTGCAGCTCCTCCATGCTACAACATCTTGTAAAAGATGGCCAAGCTCCTTCTGGGCTTTTTGTCCCCACAGTGGGGTGTCCTAGCCCCTAGCAGCAATTCTCTGGCCTGAATTCCTGCCTAAATGGCTGATAGAAAACACTTGTGGTGTCAAGTGTGGCAGGATGTCAGGTCCATGCAGGGCAGAGCTGTGGGACACTGACCACACAAACAGGTGATGTGCTGTCACCATGTGTCAACCCGCATTTCCTACACTTGTCATGGATGCTGGGAGTCATGTTCCATGGGACCTAAGTGAGGAGTGTATGGTATGCTTTGCCTAGCACAGACAGCTTTCCTCCTGTCCTTTTTTGCCTTCTGCTAAATATCATTGAAGTGCTGCTTTGCTTCTAGAAACAAGAAAGGAATGGGTGTGAAAGGAATTTCTGCATTTTCTTTGCCTTGCTTGTTAGTTTACAATTACTGATTAATGCTCCTAAGATGTGCTGTAGTATTCACACTTTTCATGGCAGGAGTCAAAGCAGGGACCCCAAACATTACCTCAGTAGTGTCAGATGACAGAGGGATGGCAGAAAGCTCAGTAATCTCTCAATGCTCTGGTCACTCAATGAATTTCCAGACAGACTGTAAAACATGGGAGGAAACAAAACCCAGGAGAAATTATTTCAATCCCTAATGACTTCTGTAAAATTTACACGGACATGCACACACACGGTGTTATGGGGAAATTCTGTAAAAGCACATGTCCAGAAATGCCATGAAAATTGGTCAAGATTTAGTCCTTACAGCCTGATCTCTGTGTTTCCTTACACCCTACAGCCAATTAACATTCCAGGTTCAAGAGTCTAACTTTTGTACATTTACAAAATGATGCTACTGTTCTCTTTCATGCAGGAAATAGGGGTATTATGTTATTTTTATTTGCTATTACTCAGTTTTTGTTCTGGCCAGTATTTTTCTAATTTTCTTGGTGCCAAGCTCCTGCCTGGAGTGACCAGCCCTTCAGGACAGAGTTCATGGCTTAGTGGGACAGGAGCTCTTGCTCTGGCTGTGCTACAAGCCAAGGTCTCGAGGAATAGAGGACAACAATTGTTTCTAGACAAAGGAGGAAGTCTAGAGAACTTCTAGTCTCTGAGAGAGTTTCGAGTGATTGAGGAAGATTATGAAAACACACACGTGTTCTGGGGCCTTTACACATTGATGTGGTACACTTAGGAGAGGCCAAGTTCTCATTGAAATAGGACAGTCTGGGTTTAGCTTAGTATGGGGATGGAGTTGTGTGGGGAGCCCCGGGAGGATGTGGTGAGAGGAGAGCTGGTGTTCACCAGCTGCCACCCTGAACATCAAATCTGTGCCTGGGGAGGCAGACAGACAGACAGACAGACAGGCTGACTTACTCGATCTCTGTCAGCTGGGGACATTGAGCCAGTGTCTGGCACAGCCTGGTCACATCCTCCAGACCCACTCTGCAGTCCCTGAGACTGAAGCAAGCAAAGCACTCAGGAGCTGAACATGACCACGGGATCCAACATTCCCTGCATTCCCCAGATCCTCCATCCCAGCACAAAGCCCCTCTCACTTCCACTACTTATATTGTGCTACCCTCAGTCTAGGACTAAGAAATCAAAACCTGGGACAAGCAGATGAATTCACCATCCCTGAGCTGATCAAAGAGAGCCAGTCCACCAAAATACCAATATTTTGGGTGCTGCCTCCCTAGAGCCACATCATTGGTGATTCAGTTGTCTCTTTCCCTGCTCAGCACTGTCTTGGCTCTCCCAGAGGGAGGCTGGAAATGGTGTCTCCTATGTCCTTCTCCAAGAAGGAAATCACAGAAGCCTTTTTGGGTGACAGACTGGCAGGTCTGCATGGGATGAATGCAGCAGTCACACAGATCTGTCTCTCATTATTTATGGGTAGATGCTTCCTCTGCTGGAAAGCAAGGCAATCCCCTCAAGCCAAGCAAAAGATGCACTATTTATTTTCCTCTCTGAGGGGACACAGCTGGAGGGATGGCTCTGTCCCACACACTGCCCTAAAGACACAGACCCCACTGTCATCCCTCCCTGCAGTCCTGGTGACAAAGGGAAGCCAGGCTGCCATACCAAAAGCTCCGTCCTTTTGCTTCCTGCTTGGCATGTGCCCGGGAACCACTTCTCCATCTGCTGGCACTCCTGGGGAAAGAACAATTTAGCCCATGAGTTGTGCTGATGTTTTTGCTCCCGTGTCCCCATGAAGGGATGAGGAGGTGGCAGTGGCCTCACGTTCCAATCTGCCTTCCCTCATCACCTCCCAGAATGAGCCTCACCCCATCCCCAGAAGAAAAAGAGATAAAATTAGCCCTCTTCCAGCCTCCAGAGAGTGCTGCACCCACCCAGCACTTGGGCATCTGCTGTGTCCTGGCCCAGCAGGGAGATGTCAGCAGCTGGGTGCTGCTCAAGCTGCTGTCAGTCCATCAGCCATGAAACAGCTCCCTGAGCTTCCCCCACCCTGCCTGGAGTTTGGCTCTTTAATTGGCACACCACAGGGACCCACATGTCACCTTCTGTTTAGGATTTCACAAGAAGTTTAAAATATATGAGTGGGTATGATTTTACCTGACTCTTTCCCAAAAGGTCAGATGAACCACCTGTGTGTGTCCTAAGCTGTAACCAGAAAAGAACATCATCAGCATGGAGTTTGACAGCACAAGCTCCTGTATGGCTCCTCAAAGCCCACAGCTTGAGGTTTTAAATAGCAAATGAATACTAAAAGTACTCCTGGTCATACCTGAGGCTCACTGTCTTAATGTGTTCCAGTGTAGTTAATGACTCAGCTAAGAAAAACACCGAGTTCAGGGAGACCTGGTTGTCGTTAAACCTACAGGAAGAAAAGATTAAATCAGCTGCTGCAAGCAATACTGATAAAAATTAACATGATAAAAATTAACATTGCTCCTTCTGCAGCACTGCCAGGCTGCTGCTTTGCTGCCTTCTGCCTGTGTTTCCAGCTACAGTTCTGCAAACACAACTCACTCCCATATCTTTTAAATTCATCCTTCACTTTTAGTGTTCAGAGAATTACAGAATAACCGAGGCTGGAATGAACCTCTAGAGCTGATCTAGTCAAACTCTCCTGCTCAGAGGAGGGTTAGCATGGAGGAGACTGCTCAGGACACTGCTTGGGTTTTTAACACCTCCAAAGAATTCACAGTCTCTCAGGGCAACCTGTTCTGGTGAGATTGTCTGTAACTGGAACAGTCTTGGCTTGAGAACAGTTCAATTAATCAAACAGGAACAATAAATATTTCTTTCAATAGTACAGAATGGTGCCATACTCCTTAAGCCACAGCTCTGTGCAGAGCACTTACAATGGCAGTGCCAGGTGGAATACCCAGATAAACACAAGCCACCCCTGCAGATGAATTCAGACTCCACCACTGAGGATCTCCCCAGCTCTTCCCTTCCTTCAAAGCTGTTCCCCTCAGGAGGAGAAGGACTGCTCCCCCTCCCAATGAGGAACTTGAAGAGGAAATATTCAGTGAGTTGCTCGAGGCCTCGGGGTGTTTCAGAAACCAGGAGCCACAGCTGCCATTAGAGCACCTGTCCCCTTCATGGAGGGCTGAGCAAGGGGCCCTTGGGCACTGAACTCAGTCAAGATTCAGGTGGAGTCAACCTGTTCTGCACAGGAGGTGGGGACAGAGCAGGCAGCACAGGGCAGCTGCCCCACACAGAATATTCCTGCACTTGGCTCTGAAGAGCCCTTCCCAAATGTGCACTGTGCTTCCACAGACAGCACTTCACAAAACCCAATCCATGCATAAGGGAAAAAAACGGGAGCTACTCACTTGAGAGAATGTAACATTTTCAGTTTGGGGAGGCACAGAAACAGCTGCAAAAGTCCCTCATCTCCCAGATAATTGTGTGATAGGCTAGGATTTAAAGAAAGGCATTAATTTTCACAGTAAAAAAAAAAAGCCAATAGGCACCATCAGCTCTATTTTCTGTATGTACAGCCACACCTTCCCCCAGGCTATGGCTCTACCCCACTCTCTGTACAACACTGCAGCACAAACAAGTGGCATTTTCTCAGCATCCCAAATAACTGCAGGTAAACACCATGGGGGATGAGGAGCACTCACTCCAGCTCAGAGATGTGGCCACATTCCTTCAGGGCTGCACACAGATTCTGCAGGTCACTGGCTTGAAAATTACAGTCTGTCAGTCTAGGGGGAAAAAAGAAATCAATCATCCAGGTCTGCCCGATTTCAAACAAGGTTGTAAACTTCACTCCTCTGAAAACTAGAGAATCAGTGAAGAAATAATAATGAAATTAAACAATTCCCTTGAACTACCTCGCTGTTTACCAGCTCCCACAGAGTCTCCAGGTGCTGTGCCACCCCCTGCCTGGCACTGCAGGTCCCTGTGTCCTGTGTAAGGCTCAGGGTGGGCACAGGCTCCCAGCCCCTTGCCAGGGGCTCCAGCCATTCCCCCCAGCCAGGGCAGAGCCTGCAGCTCCCCTGGCAGCTGCAGCCCGAGCTGCTGGCACTGGGGACATTCCCAGTTCTCTTGTGATTCACCACTTAGGGATGCAGAGATTGGAAATAGGACCCAGAGACAGGACACGCATGTAATATAATGAAAATTGGCCGGGGTACCTTATTTTCTGGGAGGTGGTAGGTGTCTGGTTTTCCTCCTCATGTTGTTGGTCATCAGTAGAGAAGAAAGGTTCCTCCCTAATTGAGCACAAAACCAGACAAAAGTAAAAACTCTTTTGCTTTAGCAATTTGGCAGATCCCTGGGGCTACCCTGGCTCCAGCCCACGCCTCTACCTTGCCAATTGCAAACTCTCCTTTTCTAACCAAATATTTGAGCATGCAGGCAACTGGGGAGAAGGGGAAAGAGATATTTCTAAGTTTGATAGAGAATTCAGCTTTTGCCTAAATAAGTTTTGCGAAGAGCCTGTACAAAAATATGACTATTCATAATTAAACGGAACTGTCTATCACTAATTAAACTGTAACACTGCAACTAAAAACTACAACTATAAACAGTAAAACTGAGACTAAATCTGACTATTCATAACTAAATGGAACATGCAAAACCTAAAATATCAGAGTTTGAAATGTCACCTGGTGCCTTAAAGGAGTCCACAGATCAGGTGTGTCAGGCTGTCACTCTCTTTCAAGCACAGCCACTGGGCTGTACCCCATGACAGCTCTGCTCTTTCTCTCTGGCTAAGAGGTGGAATGCAGGGGTACCATGGGAAATGCTATTTTACAGTGGGCTCAGTCCACAGAGAACAAGGGTACAAATAGCGAAATTTCCTAAAATTCAAGGAGCAACAGGAAACCATTTCTTAGTCAAAACCTTCAGGTTGGGCTGTTTCAACCATAATTTTCTGAGGGGAAAAATTAAACTCCAAACATCTCATGATTTAGGAGTACCATGGTCCAGAATGCATAGTGTTCTGAACTGCAGGGGTCTGTGAATCTTTTCAGAATTTGGTGTGGCATTCACTTGTTTTTTTCACCCTCACTATCATCAGATAGCACGGGTGTCATTAAACAGCCTGCTCTGATTAGGATGCTGTGGGATGAAATGTGCTCTAGAGACATAAAACACGACAGAAGGCAGTGACAATTTTTAAAGTGGCTGAGAAAGCCAGGAGACAGTTCTACATTTAGATTTGGGGGTTGGGGTGGGAGGCAGGAACTGCTGTGGAGTGTTACCCTTGGTACCTACACAGGATGCAATAACTAAACAGGATGCTGAGATAACACCATTTGTGCACACACAGCCTACCTAGGAGGAAGGGAAGCGAACTCCCTGTCTTCTCTAAACCTCAGGACTGCAGTATCATGAGAAAGGCTGTGAAAAAGAGAAGTAATCAATCAATGTCATGGTTTGGTTATTTACAGGACTTCTTGTTTGCTTTTGTTCTGCAAAACTCTGGTGACGTCAATCACTTGTGCTTAAAACACTCCCAAAGCAAGAAAAAAATCATCTGCATCAGTTTAAAATACTGGTTGGATCAAATTATGCAGTATCTGATGATCCAATTTCTCTGAATCAGTAGACAAAGCCCAGACAAAATTACAATACTTGAAATCCATTGTGTTTTCAAGTGAAAGTAATAGAGGAGAACTTCCAGTTCTGCTCCAGGAGGTGTCACCAGTTCTCTCATACTCTGCAGAGATCCTGTCTCCAAAACTTCCCAAGGCAGAGAGCAGGGAAGCATTTTTAAACTCCTCCATGCATGAAAGGACAGCCAGTTTTGTAAGCACTCGAATTCTGGTTGATGGCCCTGACAAAATCAGCTTACAGCAATGTGTCACCAAGTGCCAGTGTCAGTGACCACCTTGGGACACGCTATTCACCTTCCACACTCCTGAGGTGACTCAACAAAAACCTCAGAATATAACTCCTGTATGGGAGTTATTGCATATTGGGATTAACCCCAGGGATGATTCAAGACCTACATACCTGACCTGCACCTCCATCACCCTCTGGCAGGTTTTTACTGACTTCAACAGGCTGCAAATGCCAGTGACAGAGAGGCGGTTTTGGCTGAGACTGGGAAAGAAAAAGGCAATTAGCTGGTCCCTGTAATCCCAGAGGATTTTTGTTTTGTTTTTTTTCACTACACTGGTAGTGAAGTAGCTCCCAGTGTTCTGCATGCTTGAAAGCATTTCCCTTCAGAAGAAGGCAGGTTGGTTTTGTACAAGGCAACACTTACTTCAGCTGCTTGGAAATCGATATACAGGGGAGGCTTTCCAGCAGATAACTGCAGCCTTCATCTCCAAGCTTGTTGCCTGATAAACTGAAGCATTTTCCAGTTAGTGGGGACTGATTTGAACAGTAAAAACAAAGCCCTCAAAAAAGCCCTTGCTTTTCCTTGCTTCCTTTCCCTTTCCTACAATTGTTTTTTTCGCCTGGAGTGTTCTTCTGTCTCAGATAATCTTCCCTGCTTATTTCTGCATGAACCAACTTCAGACAAAAAGTTTAAGCCCTTTGGCAACATGACTCATGTTTTAGACCCAAACCACCTTGCTTTAGGAAACCTATGATCCTTAAAGCCCTTTCCAAGCCAAACCAGTCTGTGATGCTATGATCCCCTGCTCCCACACCACCTGCCCACTGCCACTCAGCAGCAAGGAGAGGAGGCACTCACTCCACTTCAGAGAGACAGGGACAGCTCTGGAGAATGGCCACAATCATCTTGGAATGTTGGGAAGACAGCCTGTGATCCTGCAAGCTGTGAACAGAAAGGCTTGGTGAGCAGTGAGGGGATGGGGATGCCCCTGGCTGGGCCAGATACAATTTCTATTGTCATTTTTATTTACTGATTCAGGTTTATTTCAAACTTTTCCACATGTGGAAATAGCCTCTCTCCTCAAGGATGAGCACTTCTGCTTTTCTTGGCCTTCTACAGTACCTGTCATCTGTAAATCACATGCACCAGCAGGACTTTCAGTGTCTACCCTTACCATAATTTCACACGTCTAGTTGGACTTATGTGTTCTTTATTGTCTTCCAACTTCAAATCCAAAGATCTGCAAACAAGCAAAATATTTATCTTTTAATATGCCTTCATGAAATATCTGACATTTGGGTCCTGGTTAATATTTTCCAGCAGAAACCACAAGGTCCACGCTCTGTGTCTTTCAGCAGTTTTGCAATAGAAGCGTGGCACTAAAGCTTATCCAGGCACTAAAGATCTGCTTTTGTGGAGCTGGCAGTAGGTGTGTGCAAACCCAGGTGTTTTGGTTACTTTTCTATTGCTCAGGCAGACCCAGCTCTGCCGTGGTTGTGGCTCATGGTGACACCAAGTGATGGCTTCAACCAGCGTGACTGAGCACAGCAGAAACACAAGTGCAGAGTCTCACCTTTGAACTTCCCCAGACGTGCCAGAAAAATAAATAATCACAGTGTTCACCCTGAAAAAGAGACCCAGGTCAGTATTAGGGAATTGGTGGAAGGATGCCATTTGTTTATCAGGGGTGTTTGGTGAGGACCAAAGCTGTTGCCTGGATGCTGAAGAGGGCCTTGACATCAGCCTGACCAGCTCATCACCACAGCCACGTGCTCAGGGGACAAAGGACACTCCACGTGTTGAGCTGGGGCTGCAGTGCAGATGAGACACTCACACCATGGAAAAGATTGGGCCAGGAATTTTTTCTTTTTTTTTTTTTTTTTTCTTTTTGCAAGGCCAGAAGTTTGTTGGAAACAGATTCAATAGAAACTCCCAGCAAGAAAAAAGCCATATGCAATTTAAGTTACACCAGGGATTACTTTGGCCTGTTATATTTAGGACATAAGACAACCACAAGAACCAACCAACCAACAAGAATTGTTTTTAGCAATCTACCCTTTGTCATCCTGGACACATGAAAACCCCAAAATCTGTAAAAGGAAGGCAGAGCTAAAGCTCTTCACATATTTTCACTAAATTTAGCTGACTGATAGCAAATTTATGCTAGTTGGTAAAGAATTTCCTTTGTGATATATTGCAGACCTTAAAAGCAAGTTTAAGTTCTGTGATATAAGAAGAAATGTAACACCCTGGAAATGGTTTTATAGACCAAGGATTAAATGACCTATTAAAAATACAAAGAGAAAGTACATGGTATGATGAATTCCCATTTTGTTTCCAATAGAAAAGAAAAAAGGAGTTATACTGATTTTTGTTCACTTCAATTATCCAACAATTAAGCTGAAAAACAGTGTCCACTTAAAGCCAGCATCTAAAGAGACAATCTACTTGTTTTTGCAAGAGCTCTCATGTGTTGGTACCTGGCACACAGCTCAGTGACATTTTGACACACGATGCCTTCCTTTGCCAAACTGAGAACAGCATCCAAGTAAAGATGGTTGTTGCTCAGGCTGTGAACACGAGGAAAAAATAGAACCTCAGCTGCTGGACCCCACAGCACTGTTCTTTTGTTAAACAAATGCCCTCTGCTCTGCTCCCCAAACATCCTTGTGAAAAACAAGGTTCACTCTCTTGGTAAAATTTAAAAGTTTAAATAGGAGGACAATAGGAGACAAAGATAATAAAGCAAGGTTTAACAGCCAGGTGCTTGGCACTCAGCCAAGGACACACCTGCTGTTTCGAAGACACCATTTTATATACCTTTTCTGTTACATCAGCCTACTGCATATTCATAAACAATTATGCATATTGAAACCTTTCCCCAAACTAATTCACATGTTCCAAGAACTGTTTAGCATGGCTCTTCCTCGGCTCTGCCTTTTTAGAGCATGCACATTTCTTGGCTGGGGTTTCAGTTTGTTCTCATTGTCACCTCCAGCTTGGGCTTTGGTCCATACTTTCTACAGAGAGTAGGTGCTGATAGTACCAGGGGTCTTCATCATATGTTCACTGGATGTTATCCCAACAAGCAGGCAGTTTAATTACCACAAGCATAATTTATCAGCTGTTTCACTACTATGTCTAATAAAAACTATATAGCAAAGTTACTTTTAACACTATACATATAGCATCTATTTTAATATTTGTGAAAAGCCAATATTATAATATGTATTTATAACATCCTGAAGCACACAATCTTTTAATTAAGGTATTTCTCAAAATTTTCTGAAGTTTACATCTAGGACTCAACAAAAGCATTATCAGATCATAATTCTTTCTCTGCAAGCTGTAGCTCCCATAGATTTACAATCAGAGATAACTCTTCTATGTGTAACAGAATGATCATTAACCAGTTTTGGGTTAGTTAGTGGAGGTACTTCATACCTTCATGATTACACCACTGATGCACAGTGCAGTTAAACTCCCACTACAACAAATCCAATTTAAGTATGGCTTATTAAAGCAGGGAGGTCTGAACACAATCCTCCAGCCTCTGAGGATTTATTCTGTAATTGCATGTTCGTTCTCTTCCATTACTTGTTGGACCTCATTAGATATGAAACACAAGATGCTGCTTCTACAAATCCTCTGCTTGTTCTCAGGGCCACAGGGCACTGAGAGCCCCGAAGGCATCATCCCTGGGAAGAGCACTCTGTGTGTGTAACAGGGATGGGGCAGGATTACAAATGGCACAGTTTTCCTGCCTTTTCTCTAGGATGAGCTGCTTCCCTGGGGGCAGGCTGGCATTCCCCACAAGCTGTTACCAGTGTGCCCAGGAAAGCAAGGGCAGCAGCAGGTACATTCCTCCTTTCCTCCCTCCTTCTGCCCTGCTTTTAAACACTTCTAACCACACTGCAAAGCCAGTAATTAATTCCTGGATGGGATCCAGCAATGACTGCAGTATTTTGGATTCACCTGCTTGCACCTGAGGGTGTGTGGAAGACCTTTAAAGGCAGAGTATCTCCCTTTCAGCTGGGGTAGTGCTCTGACTCCACAGTTTTGTGTCTATCCCTGTCCTGCCACACAAACTACACTCAGAGCAGCTCTGCTGCTGCTTCAGCTGTCCCTGGCAGCTCTTCAGAGGCTTTAAATTCCTTCAGCCAGCCTGGTTCTCTCCACCTAAAAAGCTGCAGATCCATGCTGGGAGTTTCACCAGCAGTCTGTCCCTCTCAGTCAGCACTGAGCCACAGGAGTGGGAGAAGGAGCAGCACAGAGAAGAGGGCTCTGGAAAGGCTGAGAAGGCTCCGATGGGGCCATCCTCCCTTAATCAGAGGTGAGACATCTCAACCTGAACCTCACCAAGGAGAAGAAAAGAGGAAAAGTCAAGCTAGGCACTGAGCTGGGCACATGCACTGTAATTCCTGGAGAGGTGTCAGTGGTGCCAGGACTCCCTCGGGATGATTTTAAAAGACTTAGATAAGAACTGTGAGTTGAGTCTGTCTTAGACTGAGTCCAGTACAGTCCTGCTTGCACTTAAATGTCTGTGCCTCAGCTTGGGGCCCCACATCTCTGTGCTATGCTTGTTTTCACAGTAGCCAAGGTTTAAGCCATTTTTACTCACTCTACTTTCTTCAGCTTTTTCATTTTGGAGAACAGGTCCATCACCCTCTTCACTTCTGGATCCCGTATCCGATTGCCCTGCAAGCTGCACACGGATTCACTCTCATCAGTATGCCAAGGAAGGAATGGTTGATTTGATGGTCACTGCCACAACACACTCACTTTATTTCCTCAAGCTGGAGGCACTGTGATGCAGCCTGGACCAAGTTAGTCATCCCCTCAGCTGTGATGCTCCCACCTGTCAACCTGGAAAGAGAAAGGATCACTCAAACCAAGCAAAGAGAGGGCTAGAATCCCCTGCAACACATGGAAAATCTGTCTCAGACCCATGCCCAGCACACACAGAGGCAGCAGCCTGGCTCTGCCACCTGCAACCACCTTCACACTCCTTTTGCAGCAGGGTAACACAGCACTGCTCCTGATGCCAGCACAGAACGAGAGCCACATGTGTGTGTGCTGCTCTGTTACCCTCATACACTGCACAGAACTGAGCAGCCTGGGCTGAGCCAGTGTCACTGAATTACAGAGAGCAGACAGCAAGGGAGAAGGCACTGCTGAGACAAGAAAAGACTTACTCTAGTTTCTTCAGGCTCCCCATTCCTTGTATGGCCTTTGAAAGAGCAGCAGCAAAGTCATTGCCACATCTCCTGCTACGAAAGCTAAAATGTGAAGAAAAGGGGAAAAAAACAAACACACCAAAAGCTGATATTCTCATTTGCATGCACCTTTCCTTCATATTGAAAAGAAATGCCTATCATCTTCCCTCTTATCTACTGCATTAACTACCCTGTTGGTCATCTTAATCAAAATGGAAAAACAAACAAAAATAAAGCCAGAATGGATTTATCACGTTATTATTCTTCAATCACTCATAAATTCATTATTTCATACATTTCTGCAGTACTGAAGTTGTGCTGTTCAGATCGAATTTTCTCACATCATCTCTCTCTCTTCTAGAACAAATTTGAGTTTTGACCTTCCAATCCCTTAGCCCTTCTCCCCACCCACCAGCTCACAGCACTCACTGTATTTACCTCAAGTGTTCCACATTTTTACAGCCAGCCAGAACTTCCAAACAGTCAGTGTCCACAAGACATCCTGCAAAATCCAAACAAATCAAATCCTGGCTCGAGTTTATGACAAAAACCAAAGCTGACATGTCCAGTGTTGTCATTCTGAAGTTTTTAAACTCATACTTGAAATTCAGCAGGCTCCCAATATGCTGGGCTACTTCGAGGTTTTGTGTTTCAAAGGTGCAGTGGCAGAGCTCAAGGACCTTAGGCCCTGAGAGATGAGTGGCTGCCAGTTTCTTGAGAGACTGCAGGATCACGTCCTGCTTTTCCTGCACCCAAGCTTCATCTTGCTCTGCCAGTAGCATGAGAAATGTCCTACACTCTCTTGACGACAAGCCTGAGAGAAATATGTGAAAACTCTCCATAAACTCAGTCTTTGTCTCATTCTTTGAAGTCCACTTTGACTTCAAGAAGAACTTCTTCTTCAGGTAGTTCTTGTCCACCCTCCTACTCACCATGAGACACAGTGCTGCAAAAAACTCCTGCAAGCTCAAGTGCACAAAGGCATAGCCAACCTCTGGGCAAGAGCCACTCGTCTTCACCTCAAAGGCAGTCAGCAATCCATGCAAGGAAGCAAATTCCTTCACATCCTCGGGGATATCATCAACATAAAACACAAGCTTCTTCTCTTCCAGGCCTCTCAGTGCAAGATCAAACAGACCCAAAATGGCCTTTTTGTTACAGTTCAGCTGAGTCTCCTCATCACTGGCACAGTCTCCTTGCTGCTTGTTTAGGAAGATGAGAAACATTTTGATATAAAACTGTGTCATAGTCTGGGGAAGCTCCACACTCATCTGGTGTTTAAGGAGCAAATACTCCAAGCAGATGCACACGATGTTACACAGAGCAGGGATGAGGCACATGCTGAGCAGTTTGGTGTTGTTCTTCACGTGAGCAATGGCTCGTTCTCTGAAGGAATGCTGACGAAAATAGTGGCTGACATATTCCTCAACCTTCTCATGGTCAAATCCCCAAATTTCTGCCAACACACTTACTGTATATAACAAGAAGTCAGGCAGCCTCTTGGGTCGGCTGGTGACCAACACTGTGCAACCAGGCAGGAGCTTCCCGTGACAGAGGTCTGCAAAGAGCTGGGAAATGGGCATAGGGGAGGTGACACCTGGGTCTCTCTTAGAGGAGGATGACACATCCATGTTAGCTGCAAACTCATCCAGCCCATCAAAGATGATCAGTGTCTGCTGGGCATTCTCCAGGAGCTCCTGGAACACTGCATCAGGGCTGTCCTCTGGCTGGAGGAACATGTCAAACAAAAGTTCCTTCAGGGTCAGTTTTCTTCTTAACAAATTCAGCTGCCGAAACTCAAACAGGAAAGTGAAGAGAAACTGAGGCAGGACACCTTCTGCCCATTTCTGACAAATCCTGTGCATCAGCCTGGTCTTGCCTGTACCTGGTTTACCAAACAAAAAGATCACCTTCGTGGTGTGGAATGGGGCCTCACTACAGAACAGGTCTGACACTTTCATGGCTGTATCTGCACATTCCTCTGGCTCAGGAGCACCTGCCAGCTCCTCCCGGGCTTTCTCTGTTTTCTCTTTTAAGCGGGGGACTTTGCTCTGGTGAATGACAACGTTGACAAAGGTTTGGTTGAAAGGCAGTGGCTGTGTTTGCTCCTGTGCTTCTGCTCCTGCTTCTCTCCTGCTTCCATACCTCTGGTGGATAGAATTGATGAGGAGATGCCGGTACTTTGCAGATAAATCTAAGAGAGAAGACAACAGAGGGGGTATGAGGGTGAAAAAGTTAGTTGTGAGTCATGACACATCCAAAATACTGCCACTTATAGACAGAAACAATGGCCCTGATCAGAGGCTGCTGGGCAAAAATGACAAATTTTGAACTCTTGAAAATAATCTATAACTTTTCCTAATTTTTCCACAGGGGCCAAAGAAGAACAACATTCAGGAAAAAGATGAAACAGCTTTATATGAAAACTAAATCTTATTATCTCTAAGATGAGACATAGGTATCTGTGTATTATGCATATTATTCCCTGTTCACTAACTCCCTCTTCACCCACGCTGGAAACTGATTTCTTGGGCGTTTCTGCAAAGATGTTAAATTCATTTCCTCAGAGGGAAGGCCAGCACAGCTTCTGGAATATCCACATACCCAGCCGTCGCTGTTTGGCATCCTTGTCACTCCCGGAGCTGCTGCAACGGCGACGGCGAGCAGAGCCTGAAAATGGAAAGGTCAGAACCAGGTCAAAGAGTGTTTGGAATGGCAGCATATTAGAGCTGGGCAAGACTCTCCAGCAAAGCTTTTGGGGAGCTGAAGAGGAAAAATTGGACAGACGAAATTATTTGTAAACTCAGGCTGAGATTACAGAATTGGTTTTTCTGAGATGGGCCACAAGCACCTCACTGTGAGTCTTTTTGTAGGCTGGATGATGCACCTGCCTCGCTTTGAACACAGGAACTGCTTTGATATCCTGGGGAAACATGGCAGGGAATATTTGTTTCTGGGGAATGCAGGGCCCAAGGTTGTTTATGGTGGTTAATTTCCTGGTTTTTTATGGTGCACTGTCAGATGGAGAGAATGTACAGAGCTGAGAGAAGCACATGTCTTTCTTAACTGGTCTTAGTAACTTTCAGCATTATTTTCAAGTTTCCATTCCACCAGCAACTGGCAAGATGCACTCACTAGGACACCACAGCAGCTGGCAGCAATCTGAATGCAGAACAAAGGCCAATTTTTTCTTCTGATTTTCAAGATCTTAAACCTGCATGTGACACACAAAACAGTGTCCTGTGACTTTTGCAGTGCTGTGACTCCAAAGTCTCTGAGCAAAAAGCAGAGTCAAAAGTATCTCTTCATGATCTGCACCAACTAGGACGGTCTCAGTTCCAAATTCACCCCTGAAGAAAACCCTACCATGTGCTCTGTCCTATTCTGACAACTCTGGAGTGGTTTCTGTTTGATTCATGCCTGAATAGCTTTTCTGCTCTTCCTTTAAAAGCCAAACCAATTTCCTCCACCTATCAATGAGCTGACCACAGGAAAAGTGCAAAAAGCAAGGTTTTTGTAGAGTGGGTGGGAGATTTCTGCAGAGAAACTAAAACGAGCGAGTTTCTTAGCAGAGGGCGAGCAAGGCTTGTCTGAAATTCAGGGAGAGAAAACAAAACCAAGGGAGGTTCACAGGCAAAGCACCAAGAACAGAACAGTGAAATGTGAAGTTGCAGTGGCTCTCCACACCTTGCCTGTGCTGAGGGTCAATACCTGGGCCATTTGGAGCCCTGTCCAGGCCATGAGCAGAGGAGACAAACTCCAAGAGCACAGTGCCCAGGATCTGTTCCAGCCTTACCTTTTGGCACAGACGACTGGACTCTTGTATCTGTGCCTGCTTCTTCTGTCTGGCTGAAGTAACCTTAAGGAGTAGAATGGGAAATTCATTATGGTTAATGTGAGCATTCTGCCCTTGAAATTAGGAGCGTGGCTGGCCAGAGAAAAAGGGCAAGCATCTTGCAACACAGACAGTGGCACAAACCAAGACTCAGCATAAGGGATCCACACATCCAGGTTTCAGGGTCCCCATCTGATCTTCTCCTTCCAGATTACACTACAGTACAGTTAACTTTGCTTTCAAGGCAGGAGAAAAAAAACTTTACTCTGATGCAAACAAACTCGGAGTATGGGCAGCTTTGGCTTATCTAAACCCACACTGTGGCCCAAAAGACAAGCCCTACTCCCTCTGCAAAAAAGGGTTTCCTGTGAATAAACCACCAGCAGAGTCAGCAGCCCAGTCAAGGACCTTTTCTGACTCACTGCATAGCCCAAAACTGCCACAAAACCCCCTCAGCATAACCAGAAGCAATTCACCTTCAGGATTAGTGATGCTCAGCTGCTACTACAAAAGTTAAACCAGTATAAGCCAGCTCCAAAACCTTAAGAGACATCTTCTTTTATGATATCTCACAGTATCAAAAGGCTGAAAATTGTTTCAGCTTCAGTCCTGAGACAAATCCCCACCAGTCCACATTCCCTGTTGGTTATCTGGTCTTTGCCCTGTTTCATCTCAGCCAAAACAGCTGCTGCTGCATTTGGTTACAAAGGCTCCATCCACCCAACTGATACAACTAATAAAATTACTGCAAGCAGGATGTGAAAGCCAGTACTGTTGAGAAGGACTCCTCCTGTAAGACTTCCTGCAGAAGAGAAGAATTAATCACCAGATGAAGCAACCTACAAAAGAACAGGCACAGCTTAGCTGGTGCCACAGACCCTCACAAAGCAGAGTGTGCACACCCTGTGTAGTTTGCAAGATAACACACACTAACTCATCATGGTCCTTATGAACTGCCTCATTTTCTCTAAAGCCACTGCCTCTGCTAATAAGAAATGTGGAGAAGTGGTTTTCTGTGGTTACTGTATGACTTCTGAATTCCTTGTCTTTCCAGTTCAGGAGAATTTTAAGAAATAACAAAAGTCCACAGAACAAAGAGATTGGAGTCTTTTCTTCTTCAAATAAATCCATCCACAAATTGCATCTCAACTTCATTGGAAGTGGGGGTGCACAATTTTCATTGGTTTCATCTGTTAACGTCAGGAGTTTTTACCCCAAATTACATTTCTAAGCCAGAAGTTGTGCTTCCAAGAGAAAGAAGGGCATGCAAGTGAGGGCACTGGTGGTGCCAGTACCTAGACTGGGTGATGGTAATGGGTGCCAAGGCTGTGTTTGGCCAGGGGACAGTGGCCTGGCCTCTCTTACCTTCTCCTGCAGAGCTCATGAGCAGGACCTCCAGATCCAGGGGCAGGTCAAACTCCATGCAGACAGACTGTGCAAAGTGTTTCCAGGCAGCAGGACCAGCCTCCTCCAGCAGGTCAAGGAGCACCGAGGTTTTTTCTCTGGGGTCAGCGATGGCCCCCATGCTGCTCAGGGCCACCTCGGGGATGAAGCTCTGGGAAGTCGAGAGCAGCCAGGGGACACAGGGAGTGAGGAGCTGCACGAGCTGGGGCCGGGCTCTTGCTACAGCTGCTGGCAGGTCCAGATCGTCATTCTGAAACGGGGGCTAGAGGGATCAATGAGGACAAAGTGGGCACAGCAGCAAGGGATGTTCACCCACGCAGCCCTGCACAGCTTGATCTGCTTTTCTAACCCAGAATTTCTTTCCCGTACTCCTGAGTTCAGAGATCTGACCCAGTCATGAGGGTACAAGGATGGCAGTGCTTGTCTGCACAGTGCCTGACAGCAGGGCTGGGAAGGACAGGGGCAATCCCTGGCACCAGCCAGGGAGAAGCTGTTGACATCTGTACTGCTGCAGTGGCCGTCTGCCAAATACAACCTCCCAGGCATCTCTCACATACACCAGGACCTCTGGGGAGGTCAGGGATGCTTTTGTTATTGTTCAAGAGTACTTACACAGAGTCAAGGCCTTTTCTGCTTCTCTTAACACCCTACCAACAAATAGGTTGGGGATGCACAAGGAGCTGGGAGGGAACACAGCCAGGACAGCTGATTTAAACTGACTGTATGGCATCATGCTCAGAACATAACGCTGGAGTAAGGAGGAGGAAGGCAGGGAGTTAGAGTGATGATGTTTGTCTCCCAGATCACCGTTACATGTGATGGAGCCCTGTTTTCCTGGAGATGGCAGAACACCTGCTTGCCCATGAGAAGTGTGAATTAATTGTTTTGCTTTCCTTGTGTGTGCAGCTTTTGCTTTACTTGTTCAGCTGTATCTCAGTTCACAAGTTTGTGCAGGACCCCCCTGCACAAAGGGCTCAGGCAACTGTTCTCGCTGCCCATTTTGTGGGAATGAACAACCCATTTCTGCTTTGGTGACAATACCACCTCCATTCCCACTTCCTTCCCACAAAGCCAGGCATGTGAGCTCCTACCTGCATTGTTCTGTAATCAGTTTCCTTCCAGTTGTCAAATACAAAGGTGGCTTCTGCTCCATATTCTGGCAGAGAATTGATCTGCTAGAGGCAGTCTTGGCACACAGACACACCGCAGTACATGGGACATGCCTCACTTGGTGCAGATACCTGGGGATAACACCAACAGAGCTTGATGTAGACTTGCCAGGCCATGGCAATTACATGGGTCACAAATCCAGAAGCTCTGCCTTTGATCCAAGGGTCATCTGTGATGCTTTTCATCTCTTCTCACTCAAACCAGCAGAGACCATAAAGTTTCAACATTTGAGGATTCACTCTTGATCTCATGAAAATGCAGGACTGAGCCTTGTTCTGTAGGATACAAGTGAAGACAGTTTTAGAGGAACACTTTGTGGGAATCACGACTTTCCTGGTGTCACTGCCTGGTTTGAGCTGGGTTATGCCACTCTGCTGCTGTCAGGCCCTCTGAGGAAGCTGATGCAAAATCTTACTTTAGTCAGGAAGTCAGTCACACCAGAAAAACTGTGAGAAGCTGATCCTCTGAGACTACACAGCTCTCACAAAAGAGTTTCAAGTGTAGGGGGCTGAAAATGCCCCCAGTGCCAGCTCCCCACCTCTCAGCAGAAAGGGAGAAGGGAAATTTCACCCTGCTCTGCATCTGGCAGTAGTTGTTGTCCAGCCACCCCTGCCACAGGGAAAGGGAAGAGGAAAGCAATCACCATCCGATCAAGAACAACAGACTTAATAAAGCCATATTAAATACATACATAGACAAATAAAATCAGCCCTTAATGCCAACGAAGACTGAAAGCCATTCAGGCAAAGAGTAGACTCATACAAATTAATGAAAGACTCATATTAAACAACAAAACAACACTGGAAAGTTGGATGAAAGCTCAGCCATGCTGCACAGCTCCTGTACTACTGCTCTGCTCAATAAGACCATCAAGAATGATTGGCAGTTACCTTCAGTAAAATACCTCTGATCCCAAAAATGAAGCACAAAAACCTCCCAAGAAAAGCCAAAAAAATTATGAGCCTTGATCCTTGGCCTTCAAATGCAAAACCATCTTTAACACACTTTGCAAAACTTAACCTCCCCTCCCCAACTTGGCATTCACAGCGTTCTTAGCACAAAAAAATTAAACTGAAATGTGAAACTCCCTGTCGCAAATCTACCAACTTCTTGTCTGCTCTGAGGACACAGAGTACTCACCAGAAGCCTAGAAAGAGAGTACCAGCACCAAAACAAGTGTGGGGGTCACCAAACAACAAATTTGGAGAACGATGTCCACTGCCTTGATTTTCCCATGTGCTAACTCACCACTGCCCTGAGACACAAAGCCCTTCCTGCCTTTCTTTCGAGACCTCAGCAACAAAAGACCGAGCAAAATGAAAGTAAAATCAGCCGGGAATTCCCCAACTGAAATGCATCTGCCGTAAAAACAGAGAAATGAGCAAAAATATCCATTCAGAACAGAGGAAAGGTAACATCCTAGCCTAAAATCTACAGCTAGGTAATAATTTAGGTAAAAGATCTGAGGAGTGGTCCAAAGAAATGGGACCCGGGGTAAACACTCATTGTGGAGTAAACTCTGACTTGGCTTTTTGGTTAAGGCACTTGCAATGGGAATATTTCTATTAACACGCATAAATCTAATTATTCTGGTACACAGGGAGATCTTTAATTACTTCTTCCGTTATATCTAAGAGGAAAAAACAAGTTGTTTTTCCTTTGCAGTAAGGACAAGGTTTAAGTGATAATGTAGCAGATGTGAATAATGAGAGAAAAGATCCCATGAGCTGTGTATGCACAGACCTCCAGATCTAATCGGATGGGCTGCAACAAACAATGAAATGTTATTAATATTTCTCTGAAGGCCAGAGAAGCTACATTGGAAAACCAGATGGAGCCTGCAGCCAAATCCCAGAGAAGGCAAGATGGCACACTGTGCTGTCCCATAACTCACTCATCAGGGAAAAAAAATACCCAGATCCAGCAACCCCCGTGTCTCTGGACAAACACTGACTCTGCTAGTCCTGCCCTGAGCATGGTGCAGCGAGAGGGGACAGCTCTGGAGAACCGGGAGCGGATGGAGGGGGCGACGGTGACACCTGCCAGGCTCTGCCCCGCCTTGCCACCTCCTGGCCCAGCTCTGTGCCTGGCAGCACAAGTCACCTGTTGGCCTAAAACACCTTGGAGGTGTTTTCCAGCGTTCATCATTCCCTTCTCTATCCCGGCTTTTCGCATAAGGCATGAACACCCGAGGTCTGGGGAGCACAGAGCCAGACCTGCAGTCCCCAAACGCTCGTGGGGACCCCAGCACGACGCCTCGCCCGTCCCTCCCCGCACTGCCCAGCGCGATGTCCCCGCTCCGATGTCCCCGCTCACCTGGTCCCGCTCCAATGTCCCCCCTCTGCTGTCCCCGCTCCGATGTCCCCGCTCCGCTGTCCCCGCTCCGCTGTCCCCGCCCCGCCGGCCCGGGACAGCGGCAGCTCCCGAAAGCGAAAGCAGCAGCGGCTGTGCCGGGAAAGCACGTGGGGCAGCGGAGCCCGGCTGGGAGGGAGGAGCGGTCCCCGGGGATGGGGACAGGCAGCTCGGGACCCTGGGGAGGCAGCGGGGGTTTCACTGCTCCCCCCGGAGTCATTTCGTTTGGAAAAGATCTTTAACATCATCGAGTCTAATTTAGCACTGCCGTGCTCGTCACCAAACCGTGTGCCCAGGTGATCCACACGCCTTTGGAACAGCGTCAGGGATGGTGATTTCACCTCTACCCTCGTAGCCTGTCCCCCCTTGTGCTGAAGTCGTTTTCCCTGATATCCAAGCTAAATGTCCCCTGTTGTAACTTGAGGCAGTTTGCTCTTTTTCTGTCACTTGTTGCCTGGGAGAAAAGACAGAGCCCTGCCTAGCTCCACTCTCCTTTCAGAGACCTGGAGAGTGGCAAGGTCCTCCTCCCTGAGCCTCTTTTTCTCCAGGCTGAATCCTTCCAATTCCATCATCTGCTCCTCATCCAACTTCTGCTCCAGATCCTTCCCCAGCTCCACTGCCCTCCTTTGCCCCCAGTCCAGTCCCCAGTGAACAGCCCCCAGTGGGGCAAGGCACCTCCATGGCAGAAAAAGGATGCTTTGTTCCTGCCATTTCCTTTTTATTAATGCTCACCACTCATCTCACCACTAATGGGATGTCGTTTAACACAACCAGGCGGCTGTGGCTTGATGGAAGCCAGGTCCCCATGGTCCTCAGCAGACATTGCCATGCAGGGAGTGAAAACATCACCTGAGCACTGGTGGCTTTAGAGCAGGAGGGAACATGGACAAGCCCTTAGGTGGCACTGAAAGACCAGGGAGGTAGAAAACTGCCCACTACACCAGGGCTCCTTCCAGGCCCCAGTCAGTCACCACAGCATCACACTTGGCTCCTGCTGTCCCATGGACACAGCTGGGTCACACCTTCCTTGGCTGCCATGGAGCCTCTGAGGCCCCTCCAGCTCCTCCCCCCCCAGCCTGGGCACCAGGACCACTGAAGGGATGCTCATCCCAGCAGCCATATGGAAACAGGAAGAGCCTCTGCTGCTGTGGGTGAGAGAGAATTAGGTCAGAGGGACTTGGCTTATATCCATGGCAATGCAGAGGGAGCAACCACCATGCCCAAGGAGCTCAGGAAACTGAGCCCATCCTGCTGCCAGCCTCTTTCTGGGACCGAGTTTAATGCTTTTATATTGCTCTGTGCTGGAGGAGAACATCATCTCTCCCTTTGTTAATATGATCACCATTACAGGTGCTGGATTTGTCACCCAAGATCTCCTCCAAGTGAAAAGACAAAAAAAAAAAAAAAGAAGAAGCAGCAGCATGAACTGGTACAGGAAAATTACTGAGCCCTTTGAGATAAAGTACTGCAATGTAATGGGAAGGAAAAGGAACTTGCTACTTCACCAGATACTTAAACTTTCTCTTAAAATCTCTTTGGTTTCCTTATCATTTTCATTGTTTTTCTCATCTTTGCTGTCACTGTCTCAACAACATAGCCATTATCAGTTTAGAGCTCTACACTGAACCATCAGGTAAAGAAATTACCATGGGCACAAGATCTCTCTATTATTGTACTGCATTGCAAATTCACATCTCATTTACTTTTTTCAGCCATATCCAGGTCTTTAAGCATTACTAGTTCTGAGCTTACTTGGAGTTTGGTAATATCATTTTATTTGCTGGATTCTGTCAAAATCAGGATGCTCTTGGCAGAACTGAAACCCAGGATGAGCACTAAACATGCTGTATTTCCAAAATGTAACAACAGAGATGCCAAAAGGTAGCAAAACCCATTTCTGCTGCCTTCTGAGACTGCTAACCCAAAGCCTGTGCACTTCAAGAGCCCAGTCCTGATTCTTAAGAACACAAGCCCTTTAAAGATCCTGAAAAAGTAGCATGGATTGAGGTGAAGACTTCAAAATCTTTGCAGAAGAAAGGCTCCATGGAAGCACAGTTGCACAGAGCCTAGAACATTTCTCAGGAAAAGGAAATAAAATTCAATCAAAACTGATTTAAAGCAGCTCATCTTTTAATTGGTTCTAATGCAATATTTCTGGTTGTACACAGGTTCTTGTGCTCCTCTGTGAAGGGATGAGCTCTACAAACTTTTCTCAAGAAAATTAAGAAGCACGTGACTCGGGAAGCCAAAGTCAAGCTGCACAAGTGCATATCCCTAAAAAGTGGGGAGAGAACAGAAAATATTTTATTAGTTCATGCCACAATCCCAAGAGGGCTTTGAGAGCCAGGTAGTTCTGAGTTCTGCTTACCTTTCTGGTGATGATCTCAGGATTTATGATGTCAAAGAGATCAAGCCTTTTGCTGTTCATCATGGAAGTCAGAGCTGACCCAATACCTGTGGAATCAGCAAACCCATCCACTTACAGGGATGTCCATCCTGGCTTGCTGCTCATCATGTACTGCCTGTTGCCAAGAGCTACTTGTGCCTCAATGTCCCATGACCTTCAGCCTGACAGTAAATTCATTTTTTCTTTCTCCCAGCCATTTACAGAGGGATCCTCATTCCCCAAGTGTATCCAGCAGAATTTCAAACATTAACGTGGTCCCCTCCCTTCCCAGTTGTCAGTGTTATAGATGCATTTTTTCAGTGCTCAGCTTTAGCAGATCTGATGTCAGACAATTTATGGAGCAGGTTAGCAGTTCCCCAAATGAAAACTCACTTGAAGTTACTTCTGGAATGCCAGCAACCAAGATCATATTCTGCAGGAAGCTTTGTATGGATGGGTCCTCCTGAAAACCAGAAAATTCATAAAAAATGCTTTAAAAGATATTGCTTAGCCTCAAATGGCTTAGAGAATACTTGTTGTAGGACTTACCCCATTTGGATCAGCTGTGCATTTAAACACTTTGATCTCTATGCTGAAGGGGAGGAGAAAAAAAGGGGGAGAAAAATCACTAAATGCTGCAGAGATCCTCTTTTTGTGCTGCTCTAAAACATGGACTAAAAGAGGCAACTTTCAAGAGAGCACAGCACCAACCTGGAGTCCACAGGCTGCAAAATGAGTTTCTTGTCTGCATAGGCAGCTTGCACAGTGACTGTGATTTCCTGCAGAGAGAAGAGCAGCAGGGTTCAGGCATAGCCTTAGAGCCAGGAGCTGCATTTGGACATTTTGGGTTGTTTTCTAGGAGCCAGAGTTCAACATCCTTTTGGCTTTACCTCCAGGTATTGCTGGAGAAGGCCAGAATTTTCCTTCTCCACTCCTCATGCCCACGGCCTCAGCCTCTGGGGCTCAAGGCTGGCTCATCCACTGGATTTTGCCATTTTGTAAATCCTGCATAAGGATGGAAATGGCTATGCAGGGTGTTGTTTCCCAGTGACCTCTGTCTCAACATCTGGATGTAGAGAGAACAGCCTCAGGGTAGCTAGGGCTACCACAGGTAGTCAATCCAATATAAACCAAATTAAAATAGAAAGCAGTCGCTGAATTCTGACTGTTTAGACTCATTGTCTTGTTATTATCTGCATGTAAATATTCATTTAAGAGAAACATTTTGTGATGCAGTTGCAGGTCACAACCAGGAGCAATCTCATCCTAGGAGCCACAATTTTGGGCTAATCCAGTGTTTCTGCAATTCTTGAAATGTATTTCAAGATACTACTTGGGATATAAGAAACAGCCATAATATTTCCTTTAACACCCTGCTAACATGGGATACTTGCCGAGGGAATTATTCTCAGCTGTGGTTTAATCTTTTAAATTGAGTATGCCCAACCCTCAGGCAAGGATTTGGGTTGGTTTTGTGTCTGTCTCAGCCCACAGCTGCAAGACTGAACAAACACACCGTGCTTTCCTGTGATGTTAACCACGACAGGAAAGCTGTTGGCATTTCTTTTTTCTGCTTCCTTAGATTCACTATAAAGCAGTTTGAGGTGAAACACAGTGTAATCAGGACCTTTCATACAAGCACACATAGAGGAAAATATATATTTTGAGCTTCACATTCTTCAGAGCTCTGTCTCCATTTCTGCCACAGCTAAACTCTTAGTGGGGACCTGAGCTAGAATTTGGGTGCAAGGAGAGTTCAAAATAAATACATTCTCTCCCAAAATATCTCACTGACACTACCCTGTGTCAGATAAATATTAATGGGGTCTCATCAGAGCTTTCTGCTACTTTGGCCACCTTGCACACTGATAATGGGCTGGCCCAGTTGAGGGGGCATTGAGCCAACATGGTCACTGTCATCATTGCCAGCCTCAAATGTCTAAGGAACAGATGGGAGCGTTAAAACAAACTGATTTACCTTCTCCACCTCCCACGGTTTAGCCACCCAGCCTTCCCAAAGGGCTCCCTGCCACTGCTGTCCCTGCACACCAGGAAAGCTCCTGCCTTGGCACAGAGCCTGTGCCCAGGGCTGCACAGCCAGGACGTGCAAGGACTGACCTTCTCCATGTACAGAGTCACCAGGGGTTCTTCTCCTGCCAGAAGGATGGTGACCTCCACTGCTACCATGGACCTCACCACTGTCCCTTCAGGCTGAAGAGAAATCTGGGGCTGGGTG